GGATCTTTTACAAGATCAGTACTAAAGAGAAAAATACTTCAAGGAGACATAATTGAATTCAGTATGTAGTTGGAGTTATCATTGGAGACTTCAACACCCCTTTATCTGTCTTGGTAGTTTGTATGGGTCCAAAAGTTTATCCATTTCCTCCAGGTTTTCAAATTTGTTGGCATATTTGGGTTAGTTGTACATGTATATTGCAAACACTAGGGCAATCACTAAAAAAAAGTTTAAAAAGAAAATATAACCGATATGCTATGGAAGAAGAGAAAATGCAACCATATAAAATGCTCAAAGCCACAAAAGCCATATTAATCAGAGCCAACATTTTTTTAAAATTTCAAAAGCCACAAAAAGAGTGAAGACAAAAATGGAAACAAAAAACACAAATAGAAAACAGTAGCAAATATAGTAGATATTAATCCCACATATTAATTATTATTTTGAACATCAAATGGTCTAAATGTACCAAAAAAAGACAGAGATTGTTAGAGTGAATTAAAAAACAAGACCCAAATATGTATTGTCCACAAGAAACTGACTTTATTTTGGATCTTTTACAAGATCAGTACTAAAGAGAAAAATACTTCAAGGAGACATAATTGAATTCACTATGTAGTTGGAGTTATCATTGGAGACTTCAACACCCCTTTATCTGTCTTGGTAGTTTGTATGTGTCCAAAAGTTTATCCATTTCCTCCAGGTTTTCAAATTTGTTGGCATATTGTTGTTCATTATAGCCTCTAAGGATTCTTTGTATTTCTGTGGTATCAGATGTAATGCCTCCTTTTTCATTTCTAAGTTTTGTTATTTGGGTCTTCTCTCTTCTCTTTTTAGTTAGCATAGCTAATTGTCTATTTTGTTTATCTTCTCAAAAAAACACTTTTTTTCATTAATATTTTGTATCTTTTTTTGGTCTCTATTTCATTGAGTTCACCTCTGCTCTAAATTATTTCTGCCTAATAATTTTGGGATTGGATTGTTCTTGTTTTTCTAGTTCTTTGAGGTGTAGCATTAGGTTGTTTATTTGAAATCTTTTTATTCTTTTGATGTGTTTATTGCAATAAACGTCCCTCCTAGTACTGCTTTTGCAGTATCCCACAGGTTTTGGTATGATGTGTCTTTATTTTCATTAGTTTCAAGAAATTTCTTGATTTCCTGTTTAATTTCTTCTTGGCCACATAGGTCATTCAGGAGCATGTTGTCTAATTTCCATGTATTTCTACAGTTTCCAGAGTTTTGCTTCTTATTGATTTCTAGTTTTAATCTGTCATGGTCTGAAAAGATATTTGAAGTGATTTCAATTTTTTAAAATTAGTTGAGACCTGATTTGTGACCTAACATGTGATTTATTCTGGAGAATGTTCCATGTGCTGATGAGAAGAATGTATATTATGTAGTTGTTCAGTGAAATGTTCTGCCAGGTCCAATTGGTCTGAAGTGTAGTTTAAATCTTATGTTTCTCTGTTGATTTGTTGCCTAGAAGATCTGGCCAGTGCTGAGACAGGGGTGTTCAGATCCCTTACTATTATTGTATTGATGCCTATCACTTTCTTTAGGCCTAATAGTGTTTGCTTTATATATCTGGGTGCTCTGGTGTTAGGTGCATATATACATAATTTATTTATGATTGTTATGTCTTCTTGCTGTATCAATTCCTTTATCATTATATAGTGGCCTTCTTTGTTTCTCTTTATGGTTTTTAATTTAAAGTCTATTTCATCTGATATAAGAATAGCTACTCCTCCTAGTTTTTGGTTTTCATTTGTGTGGTATATATTTTTCCATCCCTTCACTATTAGTCTGTGTGTGTCTTTACAGGTGAGGTAACTCTCTTGAAGAAAGTATATAGTTGGGTCTAGCTTTTTAATCCAATCAACCAATCTGTGTCTTTTTAGTGGGGAGTTTAACCCATTTATATTTAGGGTTGTCATTGAAAGGTATTGTCTAACTACTGGCATTTTATCAATTTTAGTTTGGATGTTTTAAATATCTTTTATTCCTTTCTTCCCTTTTATTGTTTGTCTTTGATGTTTGTTGTTTTTTTGAGATTAACACCTCTTCATCAGAAATAGACAAATCCAGCAGACAAAATATCTGTAAAGACATAGTTGAAATCAATAAAATCATAAATCAACTAGATATAAGCTATAGGCTCCTTTATCCAACAACAGCAGAATACACATTCTTTTCAGACTCACATAGAACATTTAGCAAGACAGACCATGTTCTGGGCCATAAAACACATCTTAACAAATTTAGAAGAATAGAAATCATACAATGTCTGATCTCAGACTACAATAGAGTTAAACTAGAAATCAACAACAGAAAGCTGAAAAGTCCCAAAGTATGTGAAGATTAAACAACACACTTCTATATAAAACATGGGCCAAAGAAGAAATCTCAATTGAAATTTTAAAATATTTTGAACTAAATGAAATTGAAAACATAACTTATAGAATTTAGTGGGCTGCAGCAAAAGCAGTGCTTAGAGGGAAATTTATCATAGTGAATGCATATATTAGAAAGATCTAAAATCAATCATCTAATATATTAAAAAGAAGAAAGATCTAAAATCAATAATAAGCTGCTTCCACCTTAGGAAACTTGAAAAAGAAGAGCAAATTAAATTAAAAGTAAGCAGTGGGGGAGGGGGGATGCTTCCACCTTAGGAAACTTGAAAAAGAAGAGCAAATTAAATTAAAAGTAAGCAGTGGGGGGGGGGAGAAAAATTAGAGCAGATATCAATGAAATTGAAAGCAAGAAATCAATAGAAAAACTCAACTAAAACAAAAGTTGGCTTTTGGAAAAGAGCAATAAAATCAGTAAGTCTTTAGCTGGGTCTAACTACGAAAAAAGAGAGATGACACAAACTACTAATATCAGAAATAAAAGAGGGGGATCACTACAGATCCCATGGACATTGAAAGAATAATCAAGGAATGCTATGAACAACTTTGTAGCAACTATTTGTTAACCTAGATGAAATGGATCAAATCCTTGAAAGACACAATCTGCCAAAACTCACATAAGAAGAAATAGACCATCTGAAGAGAGCTATATCTAGTATACAAATTCAATCAGTAATTAATAACTTTCCAAAACAAAAAGCACTAGGCCCAGATGGCTTTACTGGTGAATTCTAGCAAATATTTAAGGAAGAAATGTTACCAATTCTCTACAATCTCTTTTAGGAGATAGAAACAGAGGAAATACTTTCAAACTCTTTCTGTGAGGCCAGCATTACCCAAATACCAAAACCACACAAAGATATTACAGGAAAAGAAAACTACAGACCAACATCTCTCATGAACAAAGAGATGCAAAAATCCTCAACAAAATGTTAGCAAACCAAATCCAACAATGTATAAAAAGAATTATACACTATGGCCAAGTGGGATTTATCCCAGGTATGCAAAGCTGCTTCAGCATTGGAAAGTCAATTAATGGAATTTATCACATCATCAAGCTAAAGAAGAAAAATCACACGATCATATCAATAGATGCAGAAAAAGCATTTGACAAAATCAAACACCCATTCATAATTTAAAATGCTCAGTAAACTAGGAACAGAGGAAAACTTCCTCAACTTTGCTAAAGAATATCTACAAAAAACCTACAGCTAACATCATATTCAATGGTGAGAAACTTGAAGTTTTTCCACTAAGATCAGGAACAAGGCAAGGATATCCCTTCTTACCATTCCTTTACAACATCATACTGGGAGTCCTAGCTAATGTAATGAGATTAAGTAAAAAAAAAAAAAGAAAAAAAAAAAAAAAAGACATAAAATGTATATTGATTGG